TACAAAATACCAAAGCTCTAAAGAGACAGCGACCATCACCAGTAACTCTATCCACAGCGTACTGCTCAACCTTCTTCGCTGCCGGAGTACCATTCCTGGATATTGAGCATAGAGATCAGATTAGGGTAGCGAGTCTTAACAGTAGAGGTGAAAACGAAAGACTCACATGGAGGAACCGATTCTGGCGAAGAAGACAGAGCTATTGCTCTGTGTTGCGCCTAAGAAGGAAGCAGAAGAGGAGATTGAAGGAGTAGGGGAGGAAACAAGCTCGAACCTAGCGAGTCCATGTCTCAGCTTCTCAAGAATGTTACCTGCCACAAAGAGTAAAACACTGATGCTGTTGTTGTTCGGATTAAACAACAAACAATAGAGAATTGAAGTGTTACTGTTCGAAGGTTTTAGCTCCTCCATGGACATCGTCACATCAATCTCTACGGACAGAGGGGATAAGAGACTGTCTCAACTCTGAAACCAGAAGATGAGTATAGCCATGGAGCTGTGAGCGCGTTTATAATTTAATGATCTCCTTAAGAAACAACAATCCGTTGTAGTCTAGCTGGTCAGGATACTCGGCTCTCACCCGAGAGACCCGGGTTCGAGTCCCGGCAACGGAGTTTTTTTAATATTTTTCCTGTTGACATATTTAAATAAATATTATAATCTCACACGGACGAGGCCACACGTGCCAAAACTCTACACTTTTTTATGGTTTAACGACCAACCGGAAAACTCTGGCAAATTGGCAAGAATCTGAACTACAAGCTGTGTGTACTTGTTCTGCCTAAGAATTATCGAAACACTTCCATACAAATCCCACGCGCCTCTCACTCTCGCGTACACTTATTTTCTCATTCACGACGATCTCTTCGACGCTCTCTCTACCTTCTTCCTTCAAAACTCCACCGTCTTCATCTTTGGATCTCTCTAGCATTTATCTTCTTTGAGGTGAGTTTTCTCGTTTGACATATATGTCACCTTTGGTATTGAGATTTTTAGTTGAGACAATGAGCAGCAAAACGAATCTCGCTATGTTTGGATTCAGTCAAGAATTAGTGTTAGTGTTCGATTTATTACACGACCAAGCTAGAACATGATTGCTTTTGTTTAGTTACAGTATTGAGATTTGTTTTTTTTTTTAGCAAAGGAATGGCTTCAATGACTCATTCATCCATAGCATTATGTGGAGCTTCTGCTTCTGACTATCTGCGTAGTTCGACCAATGGTGTCACTGGCGTCTCTTTGAGAACCCTTGGAAGAAGAGCAATGGTTACATCCACCAGAAGTAGTAACCTGTATGTAACAGCTCGGCTCAAGAAAGGTAAGAAGTTTGATCATCCATGGCCTTCAAATCCTGACCCGAATGTCAAAGGAGGAGTCTTGTCTTACCTCTCCGAATTCAAACCTTTGGGTGATACTCAAAAGCCTGTCACTCTTGATTTCGAGAGGCCACTTGTTGAACTCGAGAAGAAGATTCTCGATGTAAGATTCAGTACTAGCACATTTGTCCTGCATTGAAATTAGCCATTTCTCTTAAACATTGGTCCCCTTTTGGTGATAGCAGGTGAGGAAAATGGCCACTGAAACTGGTTTGGACTTCACTGATCAGATTATCACTTTGGAAACCAAGTATAGACAGGTAACAAATGCAAGATTAGTTTGGTTCTCACTTTATATGGGTTCAAGGCAAGGCTGGAAACATTGGCATTATTGGTCTAAACTACTTTTAGAAGGCACTCAAATTAAGAAAAAGAATGTTTTATTAAAGTTTTCGAGAAATGTTTATAGCTCCCAAAATCTCAGCATATTCATCACTATATCTGATGTTAACCTCAGGCACTGAAAGATCTTTACACGCATCTCACTCCTATACAACGAGTGAACATTGCAAGACATCCCAACCGTCCTACTTTCCTTGATCATATACATAACATTACTGACAAGGTCTGCTCTCTCATTACTATGCTCTTTTTTTTTGTCATACATTGGAAATTAAAATTTCTTTTTTTTTATTTTTCAGTTTATGGAGCTTCATGGAGACCGGGCGGGGTATGATGATCCAGCCATTGTGACAGGTATTGGAACAATAGATGGGAAACGATATATGTTCATTGGTCACCAGAAAGGTAGAAACACCAAAGAAAATATAATGCGTAACTTTGGGATGCCTACTCCTCATGGGTATGTTATGTTTGTTTTTTAAGAACTTCATGGTTTGCTGCTAAATAGTTAACAACATTAAATCTTCTGTAATGCCAACAACAGTTACAGGAAGGCGTTACGGATGATGTATTACGCAGACCATCACGGTTTCCCCATTGTGACATTCATTGACACTCCTGGAGCCTATGCAGATCTTAAATCTGAGGAACTAGGACAGGTAAATGAAATATCTTATATGTTTGAAAGTGTACTGGTTTGTCTTCATCACAGCATTTTTTTTTTTGCTTTTATGTATAATAGGGTGAAGCTATTGCCAACAATCTAAGGACAATGTTCGGTCTGAAAGTGCCGATTCTTTCCATTGTCATTGGAGAAGGTGGTTCTGGTGGTGCCTTGGCCATTGGCTGTGCTAATAAAATGTTGATGCTGGAAAACGCTGTTTTCTATGTTGCCAGGTAAGAACTTTCCTCTAATGTAGGTAAAATAATATGATATTCTTACAGGTTGGTTTGTTCTGTGTGTTGTTCTGCTTTCACAGTCCAGAGGCTTGTGCGGCGATCTTGTGGAATACTTCCAAGGCTGCTCCTGAGGTCTGTACACTTTTCTGCTAAGTGATTGTGTAAATATCTGATGTTGTTACAATTTATTGAAGTTCTTGTACGCAGGCTGCTGAAAAGCTTAGGATTACCTCCAAGGAGCTGGTTAAGCTTAATGTAGCCGATGGAATCATACCTGTAACTATTTCTACCTCTAATGTTTTAGCCTCTTTTGTTGCTTTGGATCAGTGAGTTACTCTCTCTTACATGTTGTACAGGAACCTCTTGGTGGCGCTCATGCTGATCCTTCATGGACGTCGCAGCAGATAAAGATTGCTATCAATGAAAACATGGATGTACGTACTTGCCTCAAACGCTGGATGTGGATCACAAAATGTTCTAACTATTGTTTTTTTTCCAGGAATTTGGAAAAATGAATGGGGAGGAGCTGCTGAAGCACAGGATGGCTAAGTACAGAAAGATTGGAGTGTTCATTGAGAATGCTCCAGTAGAGCCGGAGAAGAAAGTCAACATGAAGAGGAGAGACACTGTGGTCTCCACTAGCAGGAAGCTGGAGGGGGAAGTTGAGAAGCTAAGGGAACAGATAATGAAAGCCAAGGAGACCTCTCCAGAGGATCAGCCTTCTCGTGAAGTTCTTAACGAGATGATTAAGAAACTTAGATCCGAGATTGATGAAGAGTACACTGAAGCTGCAAGAGCATTGGGTTTGGAGGAGAGACTAACAGCAATGCGTGGAGAGGTCTCAGAAGCGAGTGAAGAGGAGCATCTTGTGCATCCTATTCTGATAGAGAAGATTGAGAAGCTTAAAGAAGAGTTCAATACACGTTTGAGTGAAGCACCTAACTACGAGAGCCTCAAAACTAAGATGGAAATGCTAAGAGACTTTTCAAGAGCCAAGGCAGCATCAGAAGCTGCTTCAGTGAAGAATGAGATCGATAAGCGGTTTCAGGAAGCTGTGGACCGCTCTGAAGTTAGAGAAAAGGTTGAGGCAATCAAAGCTGAGGTTGCAACTTCAGGAGCATCATCTTTTGAAGAGTTGAGTGATGAGCTGAAGGAAAAAGTTTTGAAGACCAAAAGCGAGGTGGAAGCAGAGATGGCTGGTGTGTTGAAGTCAATGGGTCTGGAGCTGGAGGCTGTTAAACCGAATGTGGTTGAGCAGACCTTTGTTCCGAGCGAAAACATTCAAGAAAGAGTTGAAAAGCTGAACCAAGAGATCAGTGAGAAGATTGAGGAGGTGGTGAAGACACCAGAGATCAAGAGCATGGTTGAGTTGCTGAAAGTGGAGACTGCAAAGGCGAGTCAGACGCCAGGTGACACGAAAGTGAGTCAGAAGATTGAGACTCTTGACCAGCAGATCAAGCAGAAGATTGCAGATGCTTTGAGCATGTCAGGACTGCAGGAAAAGCAAGAAGAGCTGGAGAAGGAGCTCGCGGTTGCACGTGAAGTAGCTGCAGAGAAATTAAAGGAGAGCCTGAAGGAAGATGATGATGATGATGATGATGACGAAGATGGTTCAGAATCTGAGAAACCAGAGATCATTAACCCCAGCTTCGCCTGAAACAACAAAACAAGACCATTGTTTGTAAGTTCACTATCCTGCTTTTAAATCATTCACAGGACCAAACCAAACCAAACGCTAACGCAAAGACTAAACCGCAGGATCCTGAAGCTCTTTACGATTGCATTGATAAGAGGCTTTTCTTAGAACCATCCAAGATCTGAGAAGTAGCAAAGAGAAAGAGGAAACTCTAATGGAGGAACATTAACTTAGGAGCCTCATTTCTGGAACACGATTTCTGAGATTAGATCAAGCATTTGCAGTGAGTGACTTTTGTCTTTGAATTCATTTCTGTATTTGTTATGGCTTGTTTCATTAGAACACTAGTTTTGTTGTTTCGAGTCTCACATGACAATACGTCGCACGTTTCACTCTTCTGTTCAAACCTTTGATATATTTATAGATTTTGTCAAATGATGATACTCAGTTTTGAAGTCTTGAATAATTAGTTTTAGAAGAAATTGGTTTGTACTTTCTCACACAAAAGTGGAGTGATAGTAGGGTGAGAGAAAAACGAATTACATACCTCAGGTGAATAAGGGCAAGTGAAAAGAGGTGAGATCACGTTACCAAGGTGGTTAAAAACAGAACACAAGACCATAAATTAGTTCAAAATAAGAAAGAAAAAAGCGTTTTAATAAGCACAGTATATTCTCAAAAACACAACTAACGAATCAGACAAAAAATATGGTCATGTCGACAAAATATATAAAAGTATAACGTGAGCATACAAGTTTCATAGTAACATAATATGAGTGGAACCAAACCGTCAACATACAACCGAAATTCATACATTCAATAATTAGAAGATGAGAAAATCTGAGTCCAAACTCCAAAATTCTAATTCCAACTACAACATTTCCTAGCACCAGTCCACAACTAAAAACCATATGTTCTCACTTGCACCGCAAATGTGTAATCTCAAACTTTTCCATAGAGTAATCTCAAGAAATTTTCCAATACCAAAAATAAATATGATTTTTTTTTTTTTGGTAAGAGATTGGGAGGAAGACTCCCAGATTTATTAAACAACAACCAGACTACAACCGGATTTGTCGTGACTGTAACGAGCCAACAACATCCTCGTGCATCAAAGAAACAACCTCTACTGGAGCAACATCAAAGCTATAAAAACCAAATGG